TTGTGTTACACGAAAAAAGAACGTCGACGGAAAGAAAAACACGATGTTTGGGTGGACGCCACGGATGCCCCTCTTTCAAGTCGCGTTGGGCAGGCGCCGCTGCTCAGAGAGCGAAAAAACTGGTAGCGCAGCTCCCATTATTGATTGGTAGCGCAGGTAGGTTACTTCCTCGATTTTTAATTCGTGCAGCCACCGCCTGGTGCCGTCGGTATGTGGAAAAGGTCCATTGCCTCATCTTGAATTACTTCTGTGCGATCGGTTTGGTATGCTACAACGAGCTCCAAGTGGCATATGAGAAATCAGGTGTTGTCCTGACGTGTTGTTGACTTGGAGAGAAGGAAACAACTGCTTAGGCTGCTCTTTTGCACGCTAAGTTACGTAGCGCAAAATATGGGATTTTATTTTGTTTGCCTTTATGGTGTAACCTAATTAGCAATGAACAAATGCCGACAGAGCAGCAGGTAATGCCTCGTTTTTGATTATATGCTCACTATACTACTTTTTCCATTTTTTTTACACATTTCCCCCCTTTTCAAAAGGAATTGTATATATGTCACATCAAACAAAACAAAAAGAAGTAGTAATAAAAGAAATGGAGTTAATCGAATAACCAAAACCCCAGATCGTAAATTGCACTGTCCATGGCACGTAGTCTCCAAGTCTTTTCAAAAGTCACCGCTACCTGCACCTCCGACGAAAAGGTTGCGGTTCTTGTCGGTCGGTGTCAGGAGCATTTGACTGCGGTGTCAGCCGTTGTTATTCCTTTGACAGAGGAAAGTCGAGTGACTGGAGTGCGCATTGTGATGGGCTCTACGAGGCCACAGGAAACAACCCGCTGTCCTTATTTTAAGTAAGCTGTTGCAGGACCTCAGATGGAACTTTAGAAAGCTTGCTTGCATTCCAAACCTTTCCACCTTAGAGTGGGAATGCGTTAGGTCCCCGACGATTTAGTATTTTTCTTGGTTTTAATTAACGCAGGCTTTCTTTCGCATGATGTCCAGACAGCTCCATACAAACAAAGTTGCCTCGATGAAAGGCCGGCACGCGTGTACCTCCCTTGTTATCTGCGTACACTCGTGAGGCGCCCTGGTGCTTCTTGATTTGTTCTTCCAGCTCGGTCACCGCAGCTGTTCGGTCCGTGAAGAAGTTTTCGTCTGGTCCTCCGGCGATGACCAGCTTAATTCGGCGGTGTCCATCGCGTAAAAAATGTAATTGACACACCCGTAACTGAGTCTGGCGTCGCACGGTAGATACTGATGTATTCGGTTAACGCCTCCTAGAAGTTCTGCCCTTCGAGAAGTGCCAGCTGAATGAAGTCTTTCAAAACTCTGCTGAATATTTAGATCATTCCGTTAGACTGTGGATAGAGATCCGATGAAAGCTGTGACAAGTACCCAGCTCCAGTAGCAAATCTTTTGCCTCTACTGATGTAAATTGGCTTCCGTCATCTGAGACGATCTCTGTCGGGCAGCCTTCACGGCTGAAATAAGTCAGTAGGAGGCTGCTCATTGTGTCTTATAATGTGATATTACTGTACTGGCAAAATAAATTTCTGGCCTGCGACTACAATATTAAATGACTGTGATGAGGAAGCAATGGCGCTGTGACGCTTCCTCATCACGGCTGGCCACCTCTGCATCAATTTGTGCCACTGCCTCAATCGTTGTTTGGTACAGACGATTCACAGGTGTGAATAAAGTGACAGGACGATTATCTTGGAAGTTATTGTAGGGGAAACTACAATACGTGCTCCACGTAGAAGTAATCCATTGACCTCTGATAGCTCAGATCTCACTTGATAGTAAGGTGCAAAATCGGCACATAGCTAACTCTTTAAAGGCCACGTCGTAGCAACGGAGTGCTAAACTTTTTGTAACGTTGGATCTGCGTATATATCAGTCTGCATTTTGTCCTTGGAAGCTGTTGATTTGTGACAAAAATAACTTTATCGTCAAATGTGTGGGGCGACACGGCAGGTAATGGCAGTCGGGAAAGCGCATCTACAATGGCGTTGTCCTCGCCCCTCTTGTAGCGTACAGGGATGTTTTAGTTTAGAAGGCGTGCTGTCTCTCGAGCGATTCTCAGCGGACGGTAACCCGTACCTTGTGAGCTCAGTAAGGTTGTTAGTGCCTGATGACCTCTGAAAAGGGTGAAAGGCCCTCCCCAGAGGTAGACGTGCCGATGTTCTAGTGCTAAAATGCACTTAAGGGCTTCTCGTTCCGCAGCAGAGTATTTCCGTTCTTCTGGTGAAAGTGCTCTTGAACCAAACGCAGTGGTTTACATTTCGACATTTCGGATCCGTTTTCTTGCTGGAGGACTACGCCAATGCCGTATGCTGATGCGGCCGTCGTAACAAGGACTGTGAACACTGGGGCTGAACATAGAGTGCTCTTCAGGCCTGCAGTCGGCGATTGGCATCTTAATTCTTTCGCAGCACAGCTGAGCTTAGTTTGTTCAGACGGATGACTTCTCATCACGCAGTGAGACTCTTAGGGGGGGTACTTCGTCCGACGACTACGGTGTCAGTCATTGCTGTTGTTGGTGTGAAGAAATCGTGAGTAGTGGCCAGCAAGTCCTAGGCAAAAGAGCAAGGAATGATGTCCTTTTTGCGAAGATGCATCTTGTATGGCTTTGACGTTTGCATGTAGAGGAGATGCACCTTCTGGCATGATCGTATGTCAGCCAAACGTCAATTCCGTTAGTCCGAATATACACTTTAATTTAGTTTCAGACCAGTGTCTTAGATGCTCTGTAGAACCTTGAGCAGGTTCTTTCCATGGTTTTCTGCATCAAACCGAAGATGATATCGTCGGGATAGCAAAGGACACCGAAACATCCGACGAAAATTTGCGACACCAACTTCTAGGAAGCTGGGTCCGCAGACACCAAGCTAAACACACTCTCTTGAAGTAGTGGGTGCCATCATGAGTGATGAATGCGGAAAGGTCGCGGCTCTTAGGTAAAATACAAACTTGATGGTAAGCTGCTGTTAAATTCAGCTAGGAGGATACATTTGCTCCATTCAAGGCACAAAAGTTTTTCTGTGTTTGGTAGTGGAAAGCAATTGACGAACATTGATTTGTTCGGATCACGAGATCCACGCAGGTTCGTGGTTTTTTGTCTTTTTTATTGCAACGACAATCGGAAACACCCATTCAAATCCGTTGATTGGTTCGATGATGTCCATGTCAAGTAATCGTTTAAAGTCCTGAGACACTTCGTTTCAAACCTTGCGCTTCAATCGACGGAGTTCTACCGCAGCAGTTCCTTCACCTTGACTTGGTGCTTGTACCATATTGTAAGAAGTATTGTTGGAGTGAACAGGTGAGCCTAGGAAGAGTCTACAATAGTTTTAAAAATTTTAGAGGTCGGTGCAGAGGTCTGCATGCTTTGCAAGATGGATCCATCAATGCAAAGTCTCTAGGCAGAAAGTCCAGCTTGTGCCACTACGTAAAGAACAAGCTGTGCTGAGAAACCGTTATAGGTTCCGAATGTGGAGTAGCAAAATGAGTAGCGAGGGAACGCCGTCAAATCAGTAGTTATTGCATTGTCTTTTTTGTCTTTCAGCTCACCCTACTTCTTCATTCACTTTGGACACAACAGCCTCATTTCGAACAAATCGCAAAATCATGGGCTATAGCTAAGTCTAACATGACCGAGCGCCCGTTTTATTAGCGCATCAGATAAAAACATCAAGGAATGACATTTTATTTACGATATTTTTAATGAGTAGTACATATTGGGGGTACTAATTATTAACAGTAGTTTTTTTAAAAGAAACAATTAGAAAATTAATAGGTTCGTCTACTTATAGATAGTGGTACTTTCTGCGCTCAATTCGTTCCTATGCCACGAGCGCTGATTACAGATGATTTGATTAAAATAAAGAATCTGTAGGTGAGCTGGTGAACTTTAATCATCCTGAAAACCGAGAGATTGAAACAAACGAAAAGGAACAGTACACTCACACAGGTGTGTGTTGTCCACATTTTTGTTTTTGAGTCACGAGTTTTCTAAACGTTGATGCTTCTTTATTGCTAGGAAAATGCTATCTGATTGTGTACCAAGATACAAGACGCTATGCTACTGAAGTTCTTATCCCGAATGTGTTTTTTTATCCTCGTGCAAAAATAATAGGAGAAAGTTGAAAGTACACGCGATTTGGTAAACGCTCTCTTTACAACAAACAAACAACCAAGCAGTTTTGAAACACCTAGAGCTAAAAACTGGTTAACTGGTTATTTTTCCTTAGAGCCTCTAAGTAACCAACGCCCGAGATTAACAACAATTAAACCCTCTCGTTCCCTAAAATCATCGTTCACAGTTATCTCAAGCTTTATCTGGAATGGAGGAAACGCTTCTGCGTCCTCCAGAAATCGCAAAAGAGTCAGCGATAATGCAAAATGGCATCGTTCGAACTTTTCGACACCGTGTATGCAGTTTAGGATGTAACATATCTGAATTGTCAGCATCGTCACGTGCGCTCACTCTACAATAGGGGACAAATTGGCGATGTCGACAAGACAATCATGGAATTCAATATCAAGATTTCGGGCGTAGCTTATTGAGAGGCAAAATACTGCTAGTACATACAGCGCAGGTGTAATGTCCTTCCTTTACTTAGCATATGCGCATTTGAAAAAAACAGAAAAAAAAAAACAGGCCCTTTTTAATTTTCAATCAAGCGACATTGGCCGTCGCCATTATTTGGTGGCTCGAAGAACGCTCAAGCACCTTCGTACTCATCGCAAGCTCAGAGAGCGTTCCCGACTAATGGTGGACTCGAATAATTGACGGAATATCGACTAAATGGAGCGCAAATTTCAAACGGGCCTTTTGACGATCAACCCCAGTGAGTTTCGGAGCAGTTAAAAATCAGTCACACGCGTCACAGGGTACAGCTTATCTGCGTTTTGCTGTTATCTTTCGGAGTCGCGACAGAGCTTTTCTGTCAGCAGAACTTTGATTGTCTAACGCCACGCGCAACACGATTGCGCGGATGTTGGTCAGCTCTTCCCTCAAGCAAGACCGCTCCCGTCAGAATGTCAGCCGAAGTTGAAACGTTTTACCCACACGTCGTCCTTGCTTTAACTCTCCTTCGTTAACTGCCGCCATAAACGACGGCTTATATATCTGCCTCGTATCGCCGTCTGTTTTATCGCTACTTATTTCAGTGAACACCGGGCAAAGAATCCAGTGGACGTCGCCTCCGGTGTGAGCACAGAACCATTCAGGTAAGCGCTTTTGCCTACAAGAAAGTAGAAAGAACATTATAATTCAACGTCTGAATTCTAAGTGTGTTGAAAGGTCGAAACAGTATGAATTGAACAAAAAATCTAAGAGCCAAATATATAAAAAAAAGAAAAAAAAAACGCTGCTCGATAGTTCAGTGTTTTTCGAACATAACGCCGTCACTCGATGTCTTAACTCTTTCGACATTTTACCGTGTGCTATAGCTAATGACACGCTGATCACTACGACAAGGAAAATGCGTCCGGTGACTGCGTTATCTTTGAGTAACGGCAAATAAATCGACGTTGAAGCTCTCTATCGTTACCGGCAGAGTAAGAAACGGTACAGTGTGTTTTTCGAACACCAGGCGTCGAGCACGCGCTCGCTGCTTTCAGCCGTGCTTTGGCTGCGTGCGCATGGTTGATGTGCACAAGACGCCGAAGCTCCTCCGTGCCCATTCTTACCTGGTCAGTGACCACAGTGACAGCGCTAAGTCTAGGTAGAGCACCGATTGCGGAGCAGAAGTTGGCCCTGCCAGCAATTGTGCATTACGAGATTCGTTCACGATCGCCAAGATGCGGTTACACGATTAAGACATCATACAAAAGAAAGGCTGCAGACATTGTGTCAGGTGTTCTTCCTTCTTGCTGGATGGTTCTGTCAGATCGGTCATAAAAAGCAAACAGTCCTTAGACATGTTGAATGCCTGTATGAAGGAAACGTGCTTGAAAAAAGATTGAGGCCTGTCTCCAGGTAATCATGGCATCATGTCTTTTGTATGATATGGATGACCAGTGTGACTCTGGTTTAACAGTTTTGACTGAATGGCGTTGTACGGGGCAGTTAAGTTTATATATAGTTGGCTGTGAACATTGATTAGTAGTGGCACTGCACTAGCAAACACGGTATTCCTGCTACAAAGCGTGACCTTCCGTAGTCTGACTTCCGTACAGCAAACTTGCACTACGCGGAAATAGCATAGGGAACCCGTGAGAGTGTCGGGTACAGAGTTGGTGTCATTACTTGAGTAATTATTTTAGTAATTTTTTTTTCTATTTTTAGTGCCAACCATAAGTGGACGTATTATAAGTTAAGCGCCGCACAAAACTAAAAAACAATTAGACCACCTTGGAATCAGCGCAATGAAAACAAGGTAGGAACTATTATTCGTTAGCTCAAACTGAAGCGGCATAGCAAACACATCTGAATTAAACGAGTAAAATGTCCGATTTTACGATTGGCGTCTGAGATAGCATGCTGTTTGATGGCAAAAAGGGCTAACACTTTGAGTACATTGCGCGACATTGTTAATAGGAAAACGGTTTCAGTGTGTGTCTGCATTTAACTTTGAAAGGATTTCGACGTGCGCCGCATTTCATGGCTTAGGTTACAGCCCCAAAATGAGCAATTTTGTGGAGCGCACTTGCGTTGCACGCAGATTTCTATATTTAATAACATGAATATCTTTGTACATACACTAACGCACACTCCCAGACACACTCGGTGTATCTGACACGCCCGGAGTCGTCCTGTTTTCTGTTCCAGTCCTCGAGGCGCTTATTCTTGTATATGCGCTCACACGCACGCACGAACACACCAGACTGGAACTTCAGAGTCTGAAATATAATGGCCATTTAAGTGGTATAAAAACACGATCATCATAGAAATAATGTAAAACTGTTAAGTTTTTTAGGCGCAAAAAAAAAGGAAACGGATGGTTCAAATTTTGTGTCGGAGTCCAGTTGAAGACTCAAACCGGAGTCCTTCAATACGCTATTGGTCTCGACATTTCTTTGTAACGCTATACGGAACGCAAGTTCGTCTGCTTCTTGCACACGAGTTGCCATGGTGACAGAACGCCAAGCGCATATCGGCTAATTGAAAAAAAAATAGTGGGTAGACTTCGAGTCATTGAGAGCAGAGGTCTACCCACTATCCTTTCAATCAAAGCCAAACAGAGCTCGGCGTCTATTTGACGTCACCGCAACCCCTGCGCAAGGAGTAGAAGACTTGCTCTCCGTATATGGGGAAGCTTGATACGCGACCAGGCTCGGCGCTGGCGTACACAAGGGGGCGAAGAGCCACCAACCTGACTTGTTGTACTTAACGAGTTACAAATAAGTAATTACTTGTAATTAATTACAATGTACATAAGCGTTTAACGCTCTATTTACTTCTTTGTGCAGTAACGTACGCTGTAATTCAATTACTATTTTTGTGTTATGAATTGCATGTGTCCGAAAGACGTAAAATTATTGAGTGAAATTGTTTTGAGTAAAAATATCGCTTTGTCTGCCCCTGCGTCACTCGTCTATGTTGCACCAAGGTTGGAAACTTTTATTATCCCTAAACAAATAAAAAAGGTGCCAAGATACGAGGTGGATTGGAATGTCAACGCGCTCAGCGACGTTTTGTCTGTCGGCATATCGAGAGTGTCTCGTTTCCTGTGTACGGGTTGTTATGATCTGGGTTTGCCGCGGCACAGACGACTTTGTTCTGCGCATGACATCATTTAGTAAAGTAAGAGGTAAGGTAAAAAGTAATAAATCACTTTTTGGTAATATTTAATTACTTTTGTGATGCAGTGATTGATTACTGCAATCAGTTTATTATTTAAATAAATCAGTTGTAATGGTAATTGGTTAATTTTTTTTAGAAACGCGTACGAAACTGCCGCCAGCCTAACCAGCACCGCTGAGAATCTGGAAACCAGAAAGCTGTATCGGAATTTTGAACCAACTCGGAAAAAAACGGCAATAGATACCGGTGAAGCGTAATCGCACTGACAGCGTTTCTTGTTAATGTAAGGAATGATCAGCTCTGTACACTAAGTTAACTGATCAAACGTTATTTTCGGCAGCACTGTCAAATACCATATCAGTCTTCATTCCTTCTTCTTGCTTCAAATTAAATTCTCAATGCCGCTATCGCCATCATAATTCAGTGCCGCGAGTGGGTCCATCAATTCGAGGCGCTGCGAACCCGTTTACGCAATCGCCTGGAAACTTCTCGCAAGCAAAACTGCCGTTGCCTGCAAAAAAAAACAAAAAAACAAACAAAAAAAACAACAAACGTTTGTTTGGACGTTGCGTTGTTAGTGATGAATAAAAAAATTAACGGAGCCATACATCCAGTGATTAACTACGGGCGTAACAAAATGTCGGTGTGTGATGAATTGTTTTTCGGAAACTACTTGTAACCGCGAATTTAAAACAAAAAAAAAACAACAAAAAACTCTAATTAAAGTGGCAAAAAAACGGTAAGAATTTTTTTTTTTTTTTTTTGGGGGGGGGGGCTTTTTTTTACTGAAACAATTCTTACTTTTTTGTGGAGGGAAAGGGGGAGGGGGGAGTGAAATGGCGCACCCGGCGGCAGCTTTTCACCCTGTCTCAAAGTTTCGTGAGCATTTTATGTATTAAGGTGTTCTGCTAAGACTAAGGTATCCTCGTCTAAAAGAACAAACTACAAATAAAAGATGCCTCAGGAATGAGACGCTCGGGTTACCGGCAAGCCAAGATCGGATGTTTAAGGACGGGGGTTCTCTGTTCGGCTGCTTTCACGAGCGGCGATACATTGGAGCGCTTTTGTTTTTCCACGACGATTCCAGATAAAAGTTTCGCTGTTTTTATTCGTGATTTAAGTCGCATGACCGGAACAACGCGAAATAGATGACCGTGTCTCAATCAGCACGCATCGCCATTTGATGTCCCTTCATTTTTGTTTCAGGAGATTGAAATGGGGCTTCTACAATTAGTACTCTTCTGCGGCTTTATCGCTGGTAAGTCATACCTTTTTATGTTTCCTAACATTTTTCAACAGACGCCGCTATTTTTCTCTACTATTTTTCACTGCACTTCGTCGTTCTTTTCTCATATTTTAAAATCCATTTTCGAACACTAGTTGGTATGCTGTTTCGCTAGATATATTCACTCATAATATTCATAGTAAGAGCTTAGAATTTTTAATTATTCGCTTTTAACAACAACAACAACCATTTTTGATAATATATTCTCAGAAGTGCCACAAAAGTTATAAATAGTTGTGGGCAGGACTGGACGGGATCTTCTACACTCACGTTTTGAGACCTGGCGCAGGAATGACACATCTTCTAATGAAAATCAATCAATACAATATTATTATCAATATGCCTTCAATGATGACTAGTGTAACATAAAATGTGCCATAATTCTCAGCTAAGAAATTAGAAATCTAATGCACATATTAAAGGCCCACTAATTCGCTTCGCTTTCCTGCATTCGAATGTTCACTGAGTTTAAGAAGTTTGTATGACGATGAACAAAAAGCGTTGATTTTTTTAGATAAAATATATTCAATTAATAAAAATAACTCGCATATTTTTACAGTGTATGAACAAAGAGTTTAATGTTTTAATCTCTTGGTAAATACGTGTTTGCCGCACTGTGATGACATAGACCTGTCCACCAAGCACTATGAACATGTCAAGCTTCCCAGAGCACCTTGTCACCTCGGAATATGTCTAAGGACGTAAATCCCAAGAGAAAGTGTGACAGAACACCATGAAGGACAGTCAAGAAATAACTTTACAAAGTAACTTTAGAAAATATCGTTACAAAATACTTAAAAGAAACCATAAAAAACCGTCATAAAATTTATCACACGCCTGCCAAAATTAGCAGACTTTTTAGTGTTAAACTTAGCGGGCAGCGTTAACTCGGTAATTCAGTGGGAAAAGCCCGCATCATTTTGTGAAAGTTAACATCACTCCTGAGCTCGCAAACGCTATACATTCTTAACGCAGTTAAAAAACAAGAAAAACATTGCATATTTTGTGAGTTTCGACATTATTCGTCGGATTAGGATAGTTGAATATTTTGTGCACCCCAAGTACAGGTATTCTATCTGGGGGAAATGAAACTAATGCTATATTTTATGCTATTGCAGCGCTAAAAATTTCGGTTATTAAATAAACCGAAAAAGAAACGCGCCGGTAAAAAAAAAAAAGAATCGGTGAATAGTATACGACGTTTTTGACATGTTTTACCTTGAAGGTTGAGCGTTTTTTATTTATTCTTTCAATTCAGATTTCTGGTAATTTCGAGAACCGTGTTGCTTGTTCTAGGTTAGAATGTGCTGCGCGCCGAATCTTCTAGGCGATTGTTCCAGAAGTCCACGCGTGTACAAAAGGGGCCCCGCGTGGCGAGCCGGAGTCAGTCTCGCCCCAGCATTCGACTCTGCGGTTTCGCCGACATTGCGCCCGCGACGCTCTGTTGTTATCTTCTGTTTCCTTTTTGTTTTGGACACAAGTTTGCCCCCATTAAACGTTTCAGTTTCTTGAGTTATTCCTTGTTTGTCACCTCGTCATTCGTGACAAGATGGCCTACTCTCTAAAAAAAAGTGCAACATATGTGGAAAGCAAGTACATAAATTATCTTAAGAAATTCGTAACAGATAGATCCGCACAATATTATTCGCAAGCAACGAGAAAACAAAGCAATGTTGGCGTGTTTTGCAGTAATTATCACTCTCTATCAACGTTCCTAAATTATTATCTACCCCGCGCTTTGATGCTTCATTCCGGGACAGTCGATAAGACCAATCCGTCCCTGTCAAATACAAGTTAGGAATGCGTTAGAAGCTCCTCCCACGTCCCTCATTAGCGCCAGCCACTGTTCCTCCCGGGGCGCAACTAGTCTCCTGCTGAGGCGTACGTCTCGCTGACGTCACCTAACTCTCCATGCCTACTTCCTTTTGTTCGCACACGAAGTGAGTTGATGCCCTGGCTTGTATATTCAGCCTACACTTTTAATCTTCACACGTCTGAAGGTGTCGAAGTACTGGCGGTACTATAAGCTCTTGTGTTGATTTCCAGGTGTCCTCGCGGGCAGCAAGTACGACTCCAACGTCTACATTGACTCCATCGTGTCCACCGTGCTTCCCACCAATGCCAGGAGCCTCGGCCTGGACAGCGTGGATGTCCCCAGCTACGCGTTCATTGTGAAGAGCACGTCTTTGACTAACTGGGACCTGCACGTCGAGTTCCACGGAGGCAAGCTCGTCGGCCTGGTCAGCCCTGGGCTGGTCCGCTGGGGAGACTGCTCTGCTCCCGGATGGCAGGGCTTCAACGTCACGCTGGGATGCTACCTGTCGCTTGACAACCTCCACTTGAGCTATGTGGGATCTGCCAAGGGCGACAGTGTTCTCAACACAAACAAGACCCTTTCTTTGAACGTGGTTCCCGTCAAGTCTTCCGCTTTCATCGAGGTCACTTCCGGGTCAGGTAGGATTTCGCTATTCATATTTTATATGATTGACGTTTTTTGCAGACTTGACAATGTAAATAGGCGCGTACAAGTGGATAAGAAAATATGAAAGGGAACAAAGCGACGAAGTAAAAAGATATTATTAGGTGAAGAACAGAAGTACTTCAAGATAGGTGCTTATGTGGTGCCTTCTCGATGTTATATGTAAAATCATTTCTAACAAGAAAACAACGAATTCACTCATACCATATATCTCCCATTATAGAATAAAAGGTTAAAAAGCTCGAACAAAAGTTCGTTTCCGCTTTTTAACCTTTTATTCAGAAATGGACCAACTAGCCCAAACACAATTTTTAATGTTCCATTATGCCCAATAAAAATCTGTTTAAATGAATATTTGATAATTAAATGAATTTATCAGCAGACTTCCCAATTTTGAGTGGTTCAAGACAACCTCCCTTACCTTACACACATGGTATTATATGAAAAAAAATATAGCTAATGCTGTCGGTCACATTTATTTAAATAACATATCGCTGACGAGAAGGCTATAAAAATGTCGGAAAAACAAAATGCCATTATGTAGGATTTGAAAGGTAAATATAATAGACAACCATGGTCAAATTTCAAATAGATCTGCGCGTTCATGTTTAAGGAAAATAAATATCGTACATTTCTTGTGCTTCCATATGGTATTATGTGATCGTGTTTTCCGGGCGAATATGGTTTTTAGAAAGCGATGTTCAGCAATTTTATTGACGGAATTAACGTGTACGTTGTAATGTAAATAACTCGTATCAGTGACAAATATATTGGGGCGAAGAAAAGGAATAGGAGTGTCAGAGCAATGTCAGAGCGCTCGTTGGGATGATTCCGCCTTCTTTTTTGTGCAGCTTACGTTTTAAGTGTATTAGAGAATAGTAGGGAAGCATTTTCGCACATTTAATACGCCACAATGGGCCCTTCGGTACGAACTACGCATGTGCGAGTTTTCTGCTGTAGTACATGGCCTATTGTACAGTGGCGGGTGCCCAAAAAAGCTTCCCTAAAACTATTATAACTGTGGTTATTCATGAATAGTTTGTGCGCGTTTTTGTTATTTTGTCGGAAATAAACTAACTTATGCAGAGATTAAAAATATTTTAAAATATGGCCACAAGGTATCAACGTCACCTTCTTGGCTAAATTAAGCGCGATGGGTTTTTAAGTAGTCTATGATGCTAGCACCATCGGTGGAGTTGCAATTTTTAAGCACATATTTTATTAATTTACATCTGTTTGGCCTTTTTAACAAAATCTCATAGGAGATACAACATGCGGTCCGATATACCGCTTATTAAGTCAACAACGTAATCTGATATCTGTCACCCAGCGAAAAGCAAATACAGCAGAGACTCCGTTGTGGAGCCAACCCTGGTGGGTGATAACACAATTTGTGTTATCACCCGGACTGTTCAAAAGATTGTTCAATGCCAGAAGTGGTTATTCGCCTTTCAAGTGACGCGTATTAATCGTTGTTCTTTTTTCATTTTAACACCAATATGACTATCCGTATCATATAGGTTACACAAAAATAGTCAAGTGCAGTTCAAATTATTCTTTACTGGAACTATAATTAGATACCTTGATTACTACATAAAAATTCACTGACTTGTGCAATAGTAACATTCCTGTATCAATTTGTTCTTGAACTTTATAGACATGAAATTGGATTCACTCTTCTGAGCTATTAAGAGCATTTCTAAATTAACATTGTCGTAGAATAAAGCACTATCACATATATTACAGAGAAACAAATAAATGTGCGGGGTTTAATTTAGGATGGCATTACTATGAGTCTAATGACACTGTTAAAAACACTTAACTGATAGACTTGGTCGATTTAAATATCCGGAAAGTTGTAACGCTGCCTATTCAATTTGTTTCAGGGGGAATTCCTTCACTCAGGACGTGGCTCATTCGCCCCCTCAACTTCAGTGTCGGCGTCACGAAGCCACTGACATTGAACGACCAACGAAAAACCGCCTTCCAGAGCGAAATTGCCAAGCACTCGCAGGCTGCACTGCTCAACGTGCTACTGGTCCGTTTCAAAGAGGCCGTGGAGAGATCCGTTCGATCGGTGAAAATGCCGAAACCCTAGAACTTGGTACAAAGACGAATAACCTATCCTTCTCAATTGAATTCAAAGTAAAGAAAATCTGCTTCGTCATTTGAATGTTTATTAAAACATTATTTTAATTGAAAACAGAAGGTCTTTTGTGTTGCGATTTATGTCTAGATATTTATTATTAAGGATATGAAACAGAAGTACAAGGTGCTTGCTAAAGAATTAAAGGGTCTTTTTATCGCAAACATTAAGTAAGCATTGTTGAACGCCCACTTTTCACGTGAACATAGCCCTACCGGTGCAAACCAGAGGCAAATATTTCAAAACTAACAATTATCTTCAACAAAAGAAAAAAAAAAAAAGAGAAAACGTTAAGGTCATTTTGTTCAATTTTTGATGGGAAAACGGCCGTCGAAGGAGCTCTCGAATACATGGAGATGAATGGTGCCAGGTACCAAAAACGGTCGAGAACGGGTCCCCTTTCCCATTGAAATCTTCCAGAATATCACATGTAAATTTTGATTGAGAGGATGGCTATTTTTTACACTTTGCGATCCTGTGCAGACCGATAGTGCTATATTTGGGCGTAGATTAAACGTTTTCGCTGCGACATACTTTTTTTTTTTTTGCGGTGAAAGGAATATTTTTTTTTTTTTGGAGGGGACGGGTGAGGATATTGACGCGCTGTATACTATAATGCAGATATTGCATGGCCCGTGCTTTTCATACATAGTTACTGAAAGCTAACGAAGGACAGGGCGTGGCAGGTCCCCGACATGTCATTACCGCTTCGCAGCCAATAAGATTGCTGCGTTAGCCCATAAGGCTCGCTTCATGAAACGTTTACACCTGAAAAGAAATCCGCTGCCGCTAGAGTCACTCTATATGGTAGCGTAGCTGCCAGAGTAGCGACACGACGCGAAATTATCTAGATGCACGACGTCAGAAGCGCTGATAGTGATCTCCATTTTGGGCCTGGGAGGTTGCCATGATAACCGTGCTTCCAGCGACGCCGGGCGGCAACCTTTGTAGTCTAGTTGATATCTCCATTCGTTCATTGAAAAGTGGTATAAGACTCTTGGCATCGCGGTACGACAAGAACCTCTGGAGGAACGGTGCCTGTTTTTTCTGAAAAGTGAGACGATTTGCAGCCCGGGGACTGCCGGGCGACGGGAGCTGCTATGGTATCGTACGTGCAGGGACAAGGCGAGTGGTTTTCGGCGCCGCCAGGATGGCGGCCGCTTCGTGGGACGAACGCACCGTCCTAGTACTTTCGGACTTCGCTCCGATGGAACAAAATCCGATTACGCCGGCCACGACAGGACGATTGGCTCGGGACATGACTGCTGCCCGACTGCCCCATAGTGAGCGAGCATATGTTTAGCATCATACTTCTTCAAGACCCGATCATCCCTTCAAGATGAGATTTTCTCACCGACTGGTGAGGAGCGACGTCAACGGGGTTCAACCAAGAAGGACGGCATCGTGGTCTCTAGGGAATCGTTGACGCCATAAAAGAGACGGACGTCCGATATGAGGTGTTCTTGCCGACATCCCAAATGGTCGTTCGGAAGTTTACCGGCATTCAAAAAGTCAATATTTTTATCTGGTGTAGCACACATATCCGTGTTAAAGGGGCCACGAAATTATTTTTAAACTTCTTCCTTACCTGTAATCCTCAACTCAAAAGAGAACTGTGAAATAACGCAGTCGTGACATGCTAGGGCACTGGTGCGATGACCCCAAGCTTTCACCGTGCTTTTTAAGCACACCGTAGAACTTGGCATTCGCAAGTGACGATAAGTTTTGTCAAGGCACTCATTGGCCAGGAACGCGAATTCAAATATCCGTGGACGAATTGATTGCTGACGAGCGCATACATCCGAGCGACGCAGTTTTCGTGTTTAAGGCGTGACTTGGGGTCGGCTGACGCCATTTTGGCCTTTGTAGGCATTGTAAAGAGGATATTTAAAACCATACACACATGATGATAACGTCATAGCACACTGGCATTAAGGAGCACAAAACGGGCCCAGCTACAGAAAATAAATATTGCGCTCGTAAGAAATAAATACGTCTGTAACTTGTTAATTACAAAGACGAACACAGCTCTAAGCATCTAAGTTTAATAGTATGTGTTGATGCATTGTTATATATCAGGTCATTTCATATACGTCACTTGAGCAAACGCCAGTTTTTCACTTGAAAAACAAACCAAAAAACACTGCGATCAAATGCAAGCTATTGCAACGAAAGCAAGTTATATCAAAATCTTCAGAACTGCCAATTTGTGAAATTGGCGATTAGTAAAAAAGATTAAAGATCGCAGGAGCTTCCTCGCTCGAAAATGCTGTGATTATTCGGTGACCCAGGGCTGAAACAATTTCCCCAAGGCCCTACATGCGCCGTATACCTTTCGATATGATTTTCAGAAATTCAGACTTTCAAAGGGAGCTAGAAAAATGCGAAAATTTTATCCTGAAAGCTATGTGGAGCGCAAGTTCGTCTGCTTCTTTTTGCAGGGGCTGTGGTGACGTCAGAACGCCGAGATCTGAGTGGCTGCGATTGAAGGGTAGTGGGTAGACCTAAAAGCAAGCTGCCTTGAGGCCTACCCACTATTCTTTGTTCAGAACCAATCAGAGCTCGGCGTTCTGGCGTCACCACAACCCCTTATCAAAAGAAGCAGACGAACTTGCGCTGCGCATATCGTAAAATCGTTGATTAGTACACTTGGGAGTTGTGTGAATATTTATACAGCGTGTAGTTGATCAGCCATTTCAAAGTTGCGACGAGTCACTCGCTGTAGATGAGCTATTTAGCCAATGCAGTATAACCGCTAGCCTGGGGTCTATAGGTCTTTAACGTGCACCACGCAGTAGTAATACACAACCGCAGGCCGGTACGATGCTCATCCAGATCGAAATGGGCAGGGGTGGGGATTGAACCCAGGTTCCCTGGTTGATTAGCACAAAACGTAAACATCGCAGGAGCTTCCCCGCTAAAAGTTTGTGATCATGCGGTTACCTGGGGCAAAAGCAAATTCCCCAAGGCCCAACATGCGACGCATAGATTTCGCATCGATTCTCAGACTCTCCAACGTTCAAATAAAGCTAAGAGAATCCGAAAATAGCATGCTAAATGTCTTATCGATCCTCAAACACATCTAGAAACCCGAGCACCGCTAAGGCGATATTACTAATGCTGCCGCACAGGTGCTAATATCCAGAGCTATCTTGCACAGAAAGGGTATAAAGTATCATTCTTTCAGTTCTTCACGTTATACCTACGTCAGAAAGTACGAAGAAGCCCTAAATCGTCGGCAAGCTGCGGCACATCATGACTCCGCGCACCGAACAAACTCGAGTCGCATCCACCAGATCTGGGCGCCGCCATCTTACCGATGACATCACGGCTCTTGAGAGGTTACGTGACGAGTCGTCACTCGGTTGCTACGGAAACCGAGCCAGCTCAGCTCGTTGCTATGGTACCGCGTGCGACCAATCGCGGTGAGAGGCGGCGCAGGGAAAAGCGTGGCGCTACTCTGGCAGCTACGCTGCCATATCGAGTGGCTCTAGCTGCCGCGGGAGCGGATCCGCTCCCGTCGGCGACGGTGACGAGCGGGTTGCGTTTACATCTATTTCCTTCAAGCGGCGGCGGCGGCGCCGGCTGCTGCAGCTGTTCTCGTAACATCCCGTCAAATATGACGAGGAGGCGCGAGAATTCCCACCTCGACTGTCTCTCCCGGCCAACCCCGGACGTTGCAGCTCCCGGAAGAACGCCTACTCATGATGTAGGCAGCGTCGTGCTGCGTAAGAATGCCACTTCCGGTCAGCGAAACGCCACGTTCGGCGGCAGAAATAGATCCCGGACCTATAGACCTTTTCCACAAGGGCGCCGCCATCTTGAATTGTCGTCACTTCCAGTATGGGCGACGAAAAAAAAGTAAAACGTTTCAACCTGTAACCAGTAAAAAAATAGAGTGGAGCCAAAACGATACTGTGTGACGGTTAGGCTTATATCCTAAATGTCTTCTATTGGCGTGGTGAGGGCAAAGTAATGTTTTCGCCCATACTGGAAGTGACGACAATTCAAGATGGCGGCACCCTTGTGGAAAAGGTCTATACTCCTCGCCGCCGCGTTTTCCGCCCAGCGTTTCGCCCGAGCGGCGAAAGCTGGGCGGATTCACTGGCGGATCTGCAAGTGTAAACGTACCATCAGGCGGGGCAACTTTTCCAGCAATTTTGAGGTTGCTGGCGGGTTTTTCCCTAGCTTTCCCTAGATCGACACGAATTGCTGAGATCGGGTCCGGCTCGAACGAGCGAGCAACTCGGAGCGATTTGAAGACGTTTGAAGCGGCTGCAACCAATCAGCGACGCGATATTTTCAGGTGACACTCCTCTGGTGGTGATGATGACAGCTAAAGACTTGGTTCTGGTTTCAAATGAATGGTTTTGAAAATAAACCTTCTCAGAAAGATGAGTTAGTATTGTCAACGCCATTCAAAGATATAAAAACACGTTTTTAGCGCGTAGCTGTGCGTCTAAAGAGCCCAAGAAAAATCAAATTGAATGATGATGATAGCGAGTCGGAGCAATTCGGTTGCTGCGTGTGAACGCGGGCGGCCCGTGTTGCTGGTGTTGCGACGTCAAGTTGCTGGGTGAAATTGGCCCGTCTGAAGCGGGCCTAAGAACGTCAAAGAATGAATCCCGAAGAAGCATATACATGAAACGTCATCCTCCGGGTTTATTAAGTTGCCAGTGACTGTATAGCTGGCAATTTCTGGTGCATACTTATACGGGTGCGGACGGCATATAACAAACATCTATAGAAATCAAAACAAAAAGGCCAATGTATTTCGTCCGCAAACCAATGTATTTGCACCTGATTTGATACCCAGCTCTCCACATTTATGCTGTTTAAGCTCTTTCAATAAAACTACCATTAGCGTCAATGACAGCCTCGATACGTCTCCGAAAGCTTCTTTACGCCTTAATGAAATGGTCCTGGTTGACCTCAGCCATCACGTCCAAATTGGCAGCCATCAACCAGTCTTTGATATTGTGAGGCTGCTTGTTAGATCTCGATGATAATAATGTATTTTATTTCCCATTCTGGTTGGTACAAAAAGGGAGGACGTC